AGTGCCAATGTGCAACCAGAGATGCAAACTTTGGGGCCGAGCGCCATCGAGGTGTTACACTCGGTGCTCGCGCACACAAGCGCAACCATGTCCGTGTGCTGCGCAGAGCACTCTATTCTGCAGCCAGCAGCAGTGAGCACACGGCATGGTTGCGCTTGTGTACGTGAGCACCGAGTGTAACACTTCGATGTTGCTCGGCCCCACAGTTTGCACCTCTGTGTGCAACTTCAGTTGTTTTCATCGCAGAGAAGCAGCAAACACGCAAAATGTCACGTAAGTATTATATAGGTTATAAACATCCCAAGGAGAACAGAAAAGTCAAAATAATGTCAATTTGACATCAAATTGACCAAATTTACGTCATTTTTTGGTCATGATTAAAAATCTTAATTTCAGATTACTTAAAAATGGCTTCATATTGACTTCTTAAAAAAATTTTTTTTCTTAATATTTAGAAAATATGATACGTTTCTTGACTGTATAAATGCTTATTATTATAAAAATGTATAATATAAAAAAGTATGACGTAAATTTGATCAATTTGATGTCAAATTGACATTATTTTGATTTTTCTGTTCTCCTTGGGATATTTGAGATTTATCACAGTCTGCGTATAATAAAATCTGCGATTTTGAAACTATTTAAGTGACATCCCAGTGAGAAATGATCCGTCGATCGACGTCGAAATGATGTCGAGTCGACGTCAATTCGACGGTGTCGTTTCGACGTCGATCGACGAATCATTCCTCATTGACCTCACTGGGATTCTCCGGTAAAATGATTACAAAATAATATTCGGTTCGGTTTCCACTGACAATCTACTGCCACATTTTGTTGGCGCAATATGTTAATCTATCGCATGTCTAGTGCAAAATAGTTACATTTTATATATTATAATTTTTCTTTTTCTTTGCAGATTCATCAAACAACGGTGACGTGCCAACGCTGCAACAGGTGTTGCAGCAGTTGCAGCAGCAACAAACTATTATAGAGGAGCTGCAGCGACGGCTGCAAGAGCGCGAGCAGGCGCGGCCGCTTCAGCAGCCTCTCCAGGAGGCCGAAGAGCAGCCGGAGGCGCAACAGCAGCAGCAGCAAGAGGGCCAGGAAGCCCGCCAGCAGCATGAGCAGCCGCTGGCGCAGCAGCAACAGGAGGCCGAGGAGCAGCCGCAGCCGCAGCAGGAGGCTGAGGAGCAGCCGCAGCCGCAGCAGCAGAAGCCAAGGCGGATTAGTACGTAATTTATAAATTAACAATTCGATTATATTTATGTATATTACAGCGGTTTGAAAATGCAAAAATTGCATCGATTTTGTAAATGCAGAAAAGCTTGTGTTACGTCCAGTGGACTTCACGATTTCTTTCTTTCTAAAAATAGC